ACCACTCTTAAAGGGACTGAGTTGCTAGGCAAATTATCAAGGCTGAAGTCATTGAGCACCCGCTCTATACCAAACACTGGACATAGTTTACCTTTAATTTTCACAGTTTACATTTGATAACAGGGAGGAGAAGAAATAGAAACTGGGACTTCACTATCTTAAATGCGAAGTTATTCTCTCTGTTTGGACAAAAAAAAAAGGCTTCCTCTTCACGCAAGTGTGAGAGGCAAGTGTTACTAGCCCCACTTATAGATGAGAAGGTAGAGAAGGACTGCCCAAGTTTGCTTAGCTCAAATGCTGCCTTTGAGGACATATCAGAACCAACTTCAGAACGAGCTGTAATCACTTTCTGTCTTGCAATGAACAAATTCAATAAAGTCACTTTACTGCACTTAACCTGCACTCTTCTTCATGGTGGCTTGGATAGGTATAGTGATACCACTTCCAGGATCTAGTTTCAAGGAGTATGGTTTAAAGCAAAGACTAGTGGTCCGGGCTAAGAGTTAGTTTTGTTTTTGCCAGAAAATAGGCATGCGGCTTGTGGAATCAGTCCCCGTAGGTGCAGCTTTCTCGCCTATGCAATGCAAGGACTAGTCTTAATGTATAAGAATATTTCCTGATGTGGAGAGAAGAAAAGATGCTCAAGAGAAACAACATATGTGAATTCCCTCCAGAGATGGGACTGAAGGTGGCATTTCTCAGCAGAAAAGACAAAACTGATTTTTCTGTGGGTGAGCATTCAGATTCAGGTTTTATAACCATTATAACAGCAATAACATTATTAGACATTTGAATGTAGAAGAACTCAAGATAAAGGAAAGCTCTGAAAGTAAGGCAGAGAAATTTAGAAATAGATGATGGGAAACATCATTAACTCTTTGGGCAGGGACATGAGGAAGCAGTGTTTAGGAAAATGGCCCTGGCAGCATATTCTGGGTAGATGGGGATAAGGAAAAGCTGCAGTCAGGGAGACAACTTGTGAGTCTGCATTTGTGAAAGAATGCACTGTGTCCTCCTCCTCTCTGTATGTGTGACTTCCCAGTGGCTTACACTCAGTAGACAGTACAGCTCAGGAAGTATGATTGGAATATAAAAGATATCCATTAATATATGTGTGTACAAACTTCCTGAAAAGATACCTAAGAAATGGATATCTGTCTGAGTAGTGAGAACAGGAGGTGGGAAGGAGAGGAGAGAACTGCCTTTCATTTCGTTCCATTCCAGTCTGTCAATGTGTGCCATGTGCTTATATTTCATAATTAACAGATTTTTTACAAGTAGTTCTTATTATAACATCAGAGATGAAAAGATCACAGCAAGACATAGAGCGCACAGCTGTGTAACTCTCCTTCCAAGTTTGGAGCGTTTAACATATTTAAAGGTATACAAGGAACAGAATGTGCAGGAGAAGGCACTAGAAAGGAGGAAACAGTAAGTGCCAGGAGTCGGGGGCCCTGGCAACCACTTGGAGATAGGTAACTGCAGCCAAGAGAGTGATTCACCTTTCTCCTTGGCCCCCTCTGCATCCATTAACCCCCTAATGTCCTACTGACCTCCGGGTCCCTTTAGGTTCCAGTAGCACATATGGCTTTACCATTTTATAAAATAACACACTCGTCACAGCCCAGCCCTAGCAACATCTTAAAATAGAAAATGAAAGAGCCCAAATGCCCAAAAGAAGTAAACAAATTAACCTTGCCAGCAAAATAATCAGGAAGCTGTATTTTGTGAATGACAGAGAAACATAGAGGAGTATAGAACTAAAAGCAATTCTCTTAGAAGGGAAAGTTTATCTACGTGTTGAAGGGAAATTACATTTGAGACTGGTATACATGTACGTGTTTATCAGAGGATTCTGACGTCCACCATAAGTAAACTTGTATCTGCTACCGCATATATTTACAAGACAGGCGAGCAGGGGGCAGCAATGGAATGCTGGGAGAAGAGGAAAGGGTAGGGCAGAAGGGCTGCATCCACATTGCTGTGAGTCTCACTTCTAGGGCCTAGCTCTACCTCTGAACATTCAGGAGCTTGATTTATCAATACCTCCTGGAGTGATTAAGCTCTGGCAATCACATAACTATGCTTGTAAGAGTGCATATAATTCATCACCCAAACCTGGACATACTTTTTCTTACTGGGATTTTTAAGAAGGGATGCTATTAATATTTAAATCAGGACAATGGACTTAATCTAAGGTTGTCCCAAGCAAATAGAGACATATGGACCGTCCACTAATATGAGAATTGATGACTCGAAATGGTAATTTCTAAACCGACAAGGAGGGTACACCTTTTTCATAACTGCAAAGTCCATTAATTTGTCTGCACGATCCACAGGACACAGAGACAAAGCCATCACTATCAGAAGGTTGGATTCAGAGAGAGGCATTACATCATTATGTGCATGACATAATGCAGTTTGTAACACAGCAAAAATAATGCATCGTGCCCTGTTGTAGAGCTCACCGTTACAGAGACTAAGCATCATATAAACCACCAGTATTCTGTTTACCTTGACAGGGCACAATTCTAAGAATATCTTAGTTACCAGTTAACAAAGTCAAGACAAAGAATGGGAAGTCCTTACAGGGAAGGGAGAGCTGAGATGTAAGCTTTTCTCCTTGGTCAAGAAAGAATCATGTAGGTCTGACCTAGCTGCCCTTCGCAGAAAATATGTTTGAGCAGCTGCCCGCTGAGACAAGACATGAGCTATGAGGACCAACGACCTTTGTCTGCCCAGAACTGAGGTATTTCCCAGGGCTTGAGACTTTCAGTGTGAAAACCAGAAAAGTCCCAGGAAGGCTAGAACAAGTTGGTCAACCTACTTTTAAGTGTAGTGCCTATAGTTCTTTTAGGAATTCAATCTCTATTTTGGAAATTAGCTATTTTTATACTAGTTATATTTCTGTGGCTATCTCCCTCTCTCTCCTCAGGTATTTTGTAAACATCTGTTTGAAAATGTCTATTTCAAATATACATTTGAATATATTCATGCAAAATATATGTACTGCCCATCTATAATTGCCCATGTTAGGCCCAGGGGTACAATAATAGGCAGAATAAATACTGTGCCCTCTTAGAGTAATAGATTTGAATGGGGGTAGAACTTTCTTCTGTCTTGAATTATTATGCATTAGACAAATCCGTAGAGAGAAATTTTCACACTTTGGGGTGGGGTGTGGAGCTGGTCAGAAAAGGTCAGCAAAGAAGCCCAGAGAAGGACTGAAGAAGTGAAGGGAAGAGGTGAGCTTGTACAGCCATGGCTCCCAACACACTCTTCTGAGTGGAAACTTTAGACTGAGTTATGCTTTCTTAAAATGAGAGGCCTTTTCCTCACATCATTGTTTCATAGGCTCTTTGACTCTCTCGTTCTAATGGAAGGATCTCATCCTAGTCCTCCTAGTCCCCCAGGATAGAACCCTTGGAGTCATCTCTAATTGCTCCTTCTGTCTCATGTCACATTCATCTTCAAGTTTTATTGATTGTATAATTACCAGTTTGTATCCACTGGTAGCCGACACAGTTTGGAGTGCTCGCTGAGCCCACACTCCTATTAGAAGTGCCCGCTCTCAACCACAGGAATGAGCCACGAGTAGCCATATCCATAAGGTGACACTGGTGTCCTGGCCCAGCTTATAAACCAGGCTTGAGTATCTATCTGTTCCTGGGATAATCAGAGACAATCAGGGTACCCCCCTGGAATATAGATTTGAGATGGAGATGCCACTCTCCCTCTGGGCTCTTTGCTTGAGTGGGTTGATGCACACTTGAGGGTTGGGGTTGGCATTGTGGTGTGGTCATGTGGTGCCACATGCATGCTAATCAGCAAAAGCGTTAGTAGAGAGGAAGCCACAAGGATGAGGAGAAGTGGCAATAACAGACCAAAGAGAGAGAGAGACCATTTTCTTATATCCCAAAGAGCTTTCCTGGCAACAGTACCTCCTGAGACCTATATTCAGTTTTTGCCTTTGGTTTCTATAAGCTCTCTTAATGACCTTTCAGTACGTTCTCATTTCTTTCCCCACTTTTAATAATCTCAAGTGAGTATTTGTTATTTGCCGTCAAAATATCCTTAACTAATGCATTATGTCTCAGTCTTTGTCCTAACACAGGTTCTTAGTTTCTCTCCTAAGACGATGTGAAGATTGTGAATAAAACTCAGCACATTGTCTGGTGCATAGTAAAACCTTAATCAACGTTAACTGTTCTTATTACTATTCAACAAGCATTTATGCAGTCTTCGAACACTGTGCTAAATATGTAAGAGAGTAGCTTTGCTTTACAAATTGCTTAGTCTATCTGAGATGTGCAAAACCATAATGGAGAATAGTACCATAGGGAAGTAAAGAGGGAAATTCACATAGCGGCCGCTATTAGCTGAGTAGAGGGCGATAAGAGAAGGGAATTGTCTATTTGGATGGTGGTCGCTTCTGAAAGGTCACACTTTCTAGTCCTCTTACTGCTGACCACAGTAAATCTATCACTTAGCACCATCTCCTTCCATCAAAGCTAGACAATAAATGTGGAGATGAGGGGTGCAGAAATCCATATCTCCTTGGCATTTCAGAGCCTTAACGGAAAGCAGAAACTCAAATGATGCCTATGAAGTAAATTGTTAAAAGAGTTAAACTCTTTTCATGTTAGCAGCCCTGATACTTTTTAGAGAAGGTTTCGTCATAATTGATTAGATTTGCTTGAGTCCTTCATCAAGACACGTTATTATGTGTGTTACTTTCAAAGCCTTCTACTGCTGGGAAGCCATGATGCAAGTAACAAGAACAAATATTCATATTCCTTTGAGTAAACAAACACTAAGCATCTTTTGACACAGCCTCTTCTGTTATTAAAATTGGAGACAATGCCTGAAAATGAGAATGGATTTATCCAGATGTCAACAGCTAAAGGGGAGAATTATCAAGCACTTAAATGATCCCAAACAAGCTGAAACATATGTCTTAAGGCAGTAAATGAAACACATTTGAGTTACAGGGCCCAGTAAATGCCACAAATCTGGGGAAATGCTGCAAGATGCTCCTAATTAGGGACACTACTGGGTAGACAAATGATGCTGATGTTTCCTAGTATTCATGCTGCTGAGATAATCATGTTATGTGCCTTAACTCAGCAAGGTTCCCTCCACAGAAAATCTTAAGTGGTTAGTCTTTAGGAACAAATCTACCACCCCTTAATCAGCTTCACTACCTGTAATTTATTTATTCATATACAGTTTATCTCTCTACAATAGCAGGGGCTTTAGGCAGGTTTTATCTTCAAAGGAGGAATGTTAAAAGGTTGAATTACAAATCAAGAGTATTGTACAAATATTGATTATTTAAAGCATTTGCTTCAAAGGGTGATTATTATTACAGCTACAGGTCTCCAGGCAATGCAGTTTACACTCCTAGATTCTGCTCCCCACTCCTTTCCCACTGGGATTTGGCTTTTCCTTCCATCCCACCACAGAAAATTTTATTTCTAATGATCCCCTAAAGACAAATCCTAAATAGGTGCTTTTCAGTTTCTAATCTTACCCCCTCTGCAGCATTTGACACTCCCTGGTTTCTGGGATCTCTTCTTCTTTTTCTTCTCTTCTGCAGTTGTTCATTTACTAATCAAAGTTCCATCCACAGTAAAAATTGTGAATATCAATGACATTTCTTTTTTGCTCCCTCCTTCCAGTAGTTCCTCTCTCTCAGCGTTTGCTTGCTCTTTTATCCTTTCCAGAACTACCTTCTCCTACACTTTTCTGTCTCTCAATATCTGATCAAAATGCTAGATCTCTGCACTGAGCTATTGGCTATTGATCTAGAGAAAAAATTCCGATTAAATTCTTTTTTTCTGAAACAAAGTTTTGCTGTTTTCGCCTAGGCCGGAGTGCAATGGCGTGGTCTCAGCTCACTGCAACCTCCACCTCCCAGGTTCAAGTAATTCTCCTGCCTCAGCCTTTCAAGTAGCTGGGATTACAGGCACCTGCCACCACACACAGCTTTTTGTATTTTTAGTAGAGTCAGTGTTTCACCATGTTGGCCAGGCTGGTCTCAAACTCCTGAACTCAAATGATCGACCCACCTTGGCCTCCCAAAGTGCTGGGATTACAGGCGTGAGCCACCATGCCCAGTCACCTTCTAATTAAATTCTGTCATGCATTCATTTTATTTTTTTTATTTTTATTTTTTATTGCATTTTAGGTTTTGGGGTACATGTGAAGAACATGCAAGATTGTTGCATAGGTACACACATGGCAGTGTGATTTGCTGCCTTCCTTCTATATCTGGCATTTCTCCCCATGCTCTCTCTCCCCTCTTCCCCACCCCCATCCCTCCCCCATTTCCCCCCAACAGACCCCAGTGTGTAGTGCTCCCCTCCCTGTGTCCATGTGTTCTCATTGTTCAACACCCGCCTATGAGTGAGAACATGCAGTGTTTGATTTTCTGCTCTTGTGTCAGTTTGCTGAGAATGATGGTTTCCAGGTTCATCCATGTCCCTACAAAGGATACAAACTCATCGTTTTTGATGGCTGCATAATATTCCATGACCAAAACGCCAAAAAAGACAAATGGGACCTAATCAAACTCCACAGCTTCTGCATGGCAAAAGAAACAGTCATTAGAGTGAATCGGCAACCAACAGAATGGGAAAAAATTTTTGCAGTCTACCCATCTGACAAAGGGCTGATATCCAGAATTTAAAAGAACTAAAACAGATCTACAAGAAAAAAACAAACAAGCCCATTCAAAAGTGGGTGAAGGATATGAACAGACACTTTGCATTCATTTTAAAGTATGTCCTCTTAGGATCTGTGGATTAAAAAAGTAATAAGACTTCAAGAAGTTCCCACTCTAATGGGCATGGGCAACAGAGATATAAATCAGTGACTATAATTCAATATGATAAATGGTAGGTGCTAGGATAGAGCAATGTACAGGGCCATACAGGTCAAGGAGGCATAACTGTCTCACCTATATTTGTATTTTTAAGAATAACAGTTTACAACTTGAAGGAATCTCAAACATCCCTGAAATGGTACCTTTGGAAACAATACCAATATACTATTTAATAGAAGCAAATCTGAGTGTATCAGAAAGTTACCATTTCTGAATGTGTATCACACCCCAGGCACTAGGTTAAGTGCTTCACAAGTAACAACTCTTAGGTTTACAATAGCTCTATGAAGGACATATGTAATAACCTTTATTATATCGAAACACTGAGCCTTAGAGAACTAGCAAGTGTTGTCTCTAGTTTTAAATACAGATATACAAAAGTCATTCTTGTTTCCTACTTTGTTAATCTTTCTCTCCAATCAATTGCCAAGCTCTGCTAACTCTTTCTAAATATCACTCAAAACCATCTACATCTCTCCATCGCCCCTGCCAGCATCTGGATCAAGGCCATCATCATTTTTCTGCTGGCTTATTGCTGTATTCTCTTACTTAGTCTTTTGACAGCAGCCAATCCAGAATGAGGACCCCAAGCAGAGAAACACAGTTATCGTACTATCTGATTTAAAAAACAATGCATGTTCACCTTGTAAGTGGGTGTTGAACAATGAGAACGCATGGACACAGGGAGGGGACTATCACATACTGGGGCCTGTCGGGGGTGGGGAGGCTAGAGGAGAGATAGCAGGGGGTGGGGAGGATTGGGGAGGGCTAACATTAGGAGAAATACCTAATATAGATGATAGGGGGATGGATGCAGCAAACCACCATGGCACGTGTATACCTATGTAACAAACCTGCATGTTCTGCACATGTACCCCAGAACTTAAAAAGTATAATAAAAACAAAAATAAATCATTCTGCATCCTATGATAAAACCCCAACATGTTAACAGAGCCTATAGAGCTCTCCATCCTATTGCCTGACTGACACTCCCACCCCTATCTGTCTTACTGTCTCATCCCCAGGCTTGACCTGGCTGGGACACTGCTGATAGATGCCAGGAGAACTCTCTGACCTCTGGGTGTCCACACATTATGTAACCCTTGCCAGGAACATTCAGCCCTGTCCCTCCTCCTCTGGCTAATTCTTAATCATCCTGTGGGTCTCCAGTAGACAACATTTCTACAAGAAGGTATTCTCTAGGTTTGTTCTGTCAGCTAGATGTGTTCTTAGATTTCTTTGCTACTTGCATCATGATAATTTTCATCCTATTGTTATATAATTGCCCATCTACCAAATGAAACATAAGCAATCTGAGGGCAGGGACTAGGTCTGAAGCACTCAGAGAAGACTAGTTCTTTGCACAGTCTAGAGCTTTCATAAACACTTAGGGAACGAATCAACAAATAAAGTAGACCCATCAGTCTGACTCCTGAGTCCCTGCTCTTAAGCATGATGCTATACTTCCTCTGGCTGAGCTTCCAGCCTAGGAGGGGATGATGTTCTTGATTAGAAAAGCATTTAAGCAAAATGCAACATATCCATACAGGCAACATGTCCTTGTTCTAAAAAACCATCACCACTTCATTTCTAAGTTGGATGAGAAAAATTTAGATTTACAGTTCAAAAGAAGTATGCTAGGGATAAAAATCAACTGGGATACCATAACAAGAAAACCAAACTGGTAGGGAAAGATTTAAATAAGCAGCTTATTTTTTAAATAAAGCTATGTAAGTCAATACATCTGAATTGTATTGCCCCAAGATTTTTGAATCCATGGAATCTTAGAACTAAAAGTTCTTTAATATCAGCTGGCTCAGTGCTTCATAATTTACAGGTGAGTATGCAAGGACAAGCAAAATACATGCTTGACCCACATTGACCAACCAATAACAGTAGAGCAGGATGAAAGTATGGATAGCTTTGAGCAGAGTTGAGGGAAAAATACTGATGTGAGATCTATGAAGAGGAACTGAAGGAAACTAAGATTGAGGGCTGTATTTTTGTGCTTCATAACTGAAGGCAAATATACCCTCCTATAAAATACTGGTTAATACCACAGTCACGGAATAAAGATTAGCTCAAATCACATTGTCGTGATAATATTCCTTAGGGTCAGTGACCCATGATCTGCATAATACAGTGACACCAGTTTAGAATTGAGGCTGCTATTATTCAACACAAAAGATATGCATTAAATGTATTTAGTGATTCTAAAAGGTGATACATAGATTCAAGCTATTAATTGCATTATTTTCATTAATTTATTGGTTTCATATTTTCTGAATGTTCTTTACCCAGAATAATTATGAGTTTTAACAAAGTACAAATGTAGTAAACATCTTTGCATAATATTCAGATATCTAAAATAAAACTAGACTACTATGTATTCTAGTTCAATTAAATATAACAATTTTTTGAACATCCAATAAGTGCCAAGAATTATCAAAATGCTTGGGATATCAGAATAATTAAGACGCGGCCTCTGTTTCAAGATTCAAGTCTAGCAGGAACCAAGATTTGTCAGTACAGTTTTCAATATGATAAGTAAAATAATAGAAATACATTCTCCAAAAGATTATACTAAAAGAAAAACAAATTGCTGTTAAAATTCTCACCTCAGAGCAACTATCCTATTCTATGAATACATCATCTTTTTCTTAAAATATTTTGTTTCGTATAAAAACGCCCATGCAAAAACTATCAGTAAAAATAGCAAATTGTTTTTCATACCCGCTATTCAATGTAATGGTGGAAAAGGGAGAGATGGAAACCTACCTTGGAAAGATCAAAAGAAATGAGCAGACCAGGGTTGAGTCAAGACTTTATACACTCTTGTCAAGGTCAATGGTGACAGCCTCAGTCAATTTTGCCATTGTTTCTAAATTTGTCTACTGGTTTTTGAGAAGTTGAACCCTTGGATCTGGATTTAGCACCCCAAATATCTCTGAGGCAAGGGTATGAGATGCCAGAAAATGATTCCATTTCTATAACTAAAATCCACAGACTAATTTAACTCATTCCCCAAATGCTTGCTGCATAATAGGATTAGACAATATTAATAAGAGAAACAGCAACACCCTCTGGGGTGGCATCAATTTTGGAGACTTCGGCTCTAGTGCTATCTCTCCAATGATTTGGAGCAATTAAGTTAAGGGTCTCAACATTTTCCATATTGCCAAGAAAATAGTTAATCATAGTTATCTACTATTTATTTAGGCTATTCTAAGAACACTAAGAAACAGTATTTATTAAGGGTGTATTATGTTCCAAATAATTGTTCCCATCAATTTGCCTATGTAAATTCATATATGCCTAATAAAAACCTGATAAGATAGATTTTATTATTCCCATTTTAAAGATGTGGAAACAAAGGCAGAGGTAATAAGCTAGTAATTTTGGCATACAATATTTGAGCCTAGATGTTGGGCTTCAAAATCTATTCTTGTAATAATTATGATATACAATTTTTATCTCATACTTCTTATACAGTTCTTTAGTGTCTTCCCACACAAAAGTGTAATTTTTACAAGTGTCTATCCAAAGAAGTGCATTTTTTTTTTTTTTACCAGCTATCAAATTTACTAAGAATGTTCAGAAGCAAACCATCACAAATAAGACTTTTTATTTGCCACTATTATAAGTCTGAACTTTAAACAGATTCTTGGACTGGTGGTTCGTATCCATCAGCTCGTTCAACTTTAGCACCTGTCTCATCCCCAGTGGCTTTTCCAGAACTACTGCCTTCACCATGAAGCTCCATGAGTTTTCCCAATTCAAACTTGGGCTTCTTCAGCATTTTTACTTTTCTAACGAAGACATCATGGAGAGGATAAATAGATTGGCAAGCTTTTTCTATGTCTTTTCCAATGCTGTCTGGAATCAATTTATTGACCACTCAAAGAAGTGCATTTCTATTTGCCTCTTTCAACATTGAGAAAACTTTCTTTTACTGAGTGTCTAGGTGAAGCAAACAGCTAACTGATTGCTATAAATGGGGAGATTAGCCAGTAGGCCTTTGACTTTGAATTACTTTCTTAGGATTTATAAGCCTTTTACAAAACCTCAAAATGTCTCTCTGCAGCAAAGGACTTTCTGCACTATTTTTAAAATGGCTTTTGGGAAATAATTTTTTTAAAAAAGCAAACTCTTTGAGGCATAGGAAACAGTTTACGCAATCAGTTCTCACTACTCATGGGTCAGTTCTGCATAACTATTTTACAGAAACAATTTATTAACCATTTCCCATTGAGGAATAAAAGATAGTAGAGAGACACCTCTACTGAAGTCTATTACAACAGTATTGAGGGCAGAAATAAGCTAATAGTAAATGCTGAATCAAGTACTTATAATTACACCCAGTCAAGAATTTTACCAAAATAAGTCAATATGGCAGTCTAATTGAGATGATCCTTGTTGCTTCTAACAGGAATGTGATTTAATTAGAATCTCCAGCGATTGTAAATAGGTAAACTGAAGTCACCAGTAACCTCACAGAAATCCCAGGCAATATGAGATGAAGCGATAGATATAACACCCTGGCTGGCTTTTTGTTCACAGGAAATGGACGTGAAAGTTCCCCACTTGGCCCTTGGGAGGCTGCAAGCCATTTGAAAATGGAGTGCTTGGGGCCTAAATAAAAGGGTGTGGTGTTATGTCCAGACATTTGTAAAAGATTCAGTCCAGATCAAGCAAACAAAACAGTTTAACTTCCATTTCAAGGAGCTCTGAGGATTCAAGATGTCCAATTGTGGAAGAAATTAACAAGACTGGGTTTAAGAGGGGATTAGTTTGAAATAAATGAGAGACAGCTGTTAAAAGTAATAAGCCTATTTCCATTTTTGAAAGGTTGGGAGACATGCCTCAGTAGACTCTGAGGGCAGGTTGTGGGGAGCAAGAGGAGGTGTATGTAGTGAAGATGGTGGACAAACAGAGAGGGATTGTGGTCCTGTCTACAAAAAAAATCCCAAGAAAGGGCATGAAGCATGATCAGGGAGATGCTGATGTGGCTTAGTAGGCATTTGGTAGTTGACAAATCCGAAGAGTATACAGGTGTAGCAACTCTGGAGATTCAAATTTTGCCTATGGCATCATTTATTATAACCTCAGGAACTTGAGGCAGTTTTACTTCTTCTCTGGGTTGAACAGAGAATAGGGATCAAAACCAGGGTCTTAATGTAAAGTAAGATCTTTTTAAAAAATCAAGTGAGAACTAAGCTCTGTTAACAGTTGCTGTATCCAAATGATTCAATCCCATGGAATCTGTGGATGGCTGACTTGATGACAAAGTAACTATTCCCAGCATAGAGCCCCTCTGAAGATTTCTTGCCTATTGAAGACCACAAGTTGTCCTACTTCACATGTAGTTGATCTAGTACTGTAATTCACAGAGCCAAAAGTCAAATCTGAAACCTTTCTAATATAATTGCTAAAGAGGAAATGTTTTGTAGCATTTATGACACAGATGTTACCCAACTATTTGAGAGCCAAATAACAATTTAAAACATCAGTTATTCCTTCCTGTTCCTAAAGAAGGGGTGATATAATAAAAAATGTTAGTATGTATTAGGTGACGGAGGGATGGAAAGAGGGCATCTTCCACGCAGATTTTCTACAGATTTACAAAGGAAGGAAAAAAATCCTCTCACTTCCAAGGTGCCTATCTTCCTCCTTTCCCAGTTTTGTTGGTGTGATTTCAGAATGAGAACATTTGTCAAAGGACTTAATGTGTGGATATAAAATGATAGTTTCATATTTGTTAGAATGTAAGATCCTATGCTTCTGAGGAGAATTCATTATTAAAAATGTTTGTTATATTTAAATGAGCATGAATTATAAAACAGTATCTACAATATATTTAAGATTATATGCATAATAAAAGTTCTAAACTGGCTATCGCTGGATAGTGAGATTATGGATTCTTTTAAAATGATTTTGCAACTCTATATTTTCCACTCTTCTCTTTCTTTTTTTTTTTTTTTTTTTTTTTTTGAGATGGAGTCTTGCTCTGTCATCAGGCTGGAGTGCAGTGGAGTGATCTTGGCTCACTGCAACCTCTGCCTCCTGGGTTCAGGTGATTCTCCTGCCTCAGCCACCCGGGTAGCTGGGACTACAGGCACGTGCTACCATGCCCAGCTAATTTTTGTACTTTTAGTAAAGAAAGCATTTCACCATGTTGGCCAGGCTGGTCTCGATCTTCTGACCTCATGATCCACCTCACTTTGGCCTCCCAAAGTGCTGGAATTAAAGCGTGAACCACTGCACCTGGCCTCTTTTCTTTCTACAATAAAAATATCTTTTTTGTTCAATAAAGATTATCATAAAATAAGGTGATGGTCAGTATTTCTGGGTATAAATTGGGTCAGAATTAGATATATATCATATTGAAACATTACAGTGTACCCTATAAATACATACAATTACTATTGTGCAATAAAAATAAAATCAAACTTCAAAAGCCATTAAAGAATTATTTATATGTTTTTATATACATACTATATAATATGCCTCTGTAAATATATAAATAACATATAATTAATTTTACATATCGAGAAGTTAAACATGTCATAAAGCTTGGGGTTTTTTTCTGGCTTGCCTTTGTCCTTCTGTCATAGCCCATATTAGATCTTGGATTCTCTTAACCCTTCCACTCACATTATCCCTCTTGCTTTTACTCATCCCACACATAATCCAGATTAACGATTTAAGATGTACTCTTCAATATTTTTCTCCATGCCTATGTGCTCAGGTAAACAAATACTCAGACACTTCGCATATTGTTGTGGGTCATTTAACAAAATAAGAACAATTATATACAGGCCTCTATGTCCTAATTCTTCTCACTCAATTATACCTCATTGAAAATCTGCCAAATCAACTGCTACAACTCAAATGCATGATTTTAATGATTTCATATCGTACCTTATGTATCATAATTTATTCAGCAATTCCCTACGGACATTTCTAGAGTTGTTTTTTTTTTTTTTTGCCATTATAAAAATGTAATCAGCATCCTTGTATGTGTGTCATTACTCATGATTTTATTTATTTGCAAAATTATCCTGGGATGGGAATGTTAAGTCAAAGAAAATACACATTTAAAATTATAATAGATATTGCCAAATTGTTTTCCAAAAAGGCAGTGACAATTAACAATTTCACCAGTCATATATGAAAATACTTTTCCTGCATTACTGACAGTAATAGATCTTTTCATTCTTTGTAACTTTTTGACAATCCAATAGGTATAAAGTAATATTTCATTGTTAGTTTAATTTCATTTCTCTATTAAATAATTTGAACATCTTTTCAAATACTCATTTGGATTAGTTCTTGTCTGAGTTGTTTGTTCTGCCTGCTTATTTTGTCTACTTTTCTATGGGGGTATATGCTTTTTCTTTTCAATTTGCAATAGTTCTTTGTACATTTTGGGTGCTAATCTTGTCTTTTATTATTAATTTAATTTACCAAATTTATCATTTTTCTTCTGAATTCACTTATGGCAACTTTTGTCTTACATTTTTATACAGTTAAATATGCCTATCTTTTCTTTTTATGACGTAACATTTTTTTTGTGTGTCCAGCTTTGGAGGATTATAAATGGTTATATTTAGTCAGTATTTCTTGGTAGTCCTAGTATTAGTTGCCAAGGGTAACAACAACAATAACAAAATTGCCCTTTGCAAGTAGAGAAGCTAAAAACAGAAAAACCTCAAAATAACAATGACTTACATACAGCCAAAGTTTATTTCTCTCGTGAAGTCTGGAAGGAGTTAATCCAGGGCTCCTACATATATCCCAATGTAAGAGAGCAGGTTTCTTCTGTCTTGATGGCTGTTCATGGCTTTTATTCCCTAGGTCAGGGCATGATTCAACATTCTGATAAAGGCCCAGCCATTTTGTTTATTTCCACTTGGAAAGAAAGAAGAAGAAAAGAAGAGCCATGTATTTTAAGGATTTTTCCCAAACTTTGTCTGCCATTTCCATTCACATCACATTATCAAGAACTTAATTACACAGTTATACCTAGTTGCAAAGGATGCTTATGTTTCCCTGGCCACTACTGCAGAAAGTCTATGAAGTTGTCCTGATTTCAGCTAAAGAATAGGGGTTCCAGTCTTTAGAAGATGTGAAAAAATGGCTATTGGTCACTGCAATTACTTCAAAGAGTAATTAGCTGACATATTTTAAACCTTGTGATTTGGGATAGAATGATTTTGTAAAGATGCTATGCTATTCTAAATAAAACAGATAAATAATGACTAATAAATGAATGAACTCACTTTTAATATTTTTCTAGAGCTCATTTATTTACCTTAACCTCTCTCTTCCAACACAATCACTCTCCAGTCATCATATTCTGTAGCTACACGGGTACAGATGTTTTAGCAGATAATGTCTACTTGTTTGAAAAATTTCTGTCAGCCAGAATGACCCAGCACACTGCGTTGCTCCATTTCATTAATTGCTTATCTCACACATCTGATGGTCTTAGCAATTTAGAAACTTCCCTCATGAACCTGGTAAAATGATAAATGAAAGAATCAACTGGACCAAAAACACTTTCCAGCTAGAAGGATTAATGCTACTGGGTGTTTTTTTTAACGAGTGGCTGTATTCAAAGGAGTATCTTCTGTTTAGATGCTCTCATGTCTAGCCAATTTTTAATAAGATTACACATTGAAAAAAATGTAATAAATTTTATCTTTAACTGGTAAAGATGGAGGCAAAGCAGATGCCATGGCTTATAACATGGGTTGTTATCTGTCTGCTGTTTGGACCTGAGCAATAAATTTCAAAATCTATTTCACTGATGCCTGCTATATATTAAAAATACTGCAGACTTTTTGATGAAATCAGATCTCTAATTTTGAAATAAAATATCTGTATTATTA